CACTAGGGTTGGCGTCACTAGGGTTGGTGTCACTAGGGTTGGTATCACTAGGGTTAGTGTCACTAGGGTTGGTGTCACTAGGGTTGGTATCACTAGGGTTGGTATCACTAGGGTTGGTATCACTAGGGTTGGTGCCACTAGGGTTGGCGCCACTAGGGTTGGTATCACTAGGGTTAGTATCACTAGGGTTGGTATCACTAGGGTTGGTATCACTAGGGTTGGTATCACTAGGGTTAGTGTCACTAGGGTTGGTGTCACTAGGGTTGGTATCACTAGGGTTGGTATCACTAGGGTTAGTGTCACTAGGGTTGGTATCACTAGGGTTGGTGCCACTAGGGTTGGTGCCACTAGGGTTGGTGCCACTAGGGTTGGCGCCACTAGGGTTGGCGCCACTAGGGTTGGTGCCACTAGGGTTGGCGCCACCCGGTGTGGTAGACTCATGGTATCCCCCCAGCCAACAAACAAACAAAATGTATTAAAATTCGACTAGTAATTCTTGACCAGAGCATCCTATTCATAAAGAATCGCTGATCGTAGTTTTGTTTGTAAATGAAGTCCTATAGAATCGTAAGACAAGGAAAAATCCATAGAATGTGAGGTAAAACGCCAAAGAACTGCAACAAAATTACATTGTATTGAAGCATTCAAATTTATACATTTTATTGAGTATTCAACTTTATACATTGTATTGAAGCATTGAACTTTATACATTGAATTGAAGCATTTAACGTTATACATTGTATTGAAGCATTCAACTTTATACGTTGTATTTAAGCATTCAACTTTATACATTGCATTGAAGCATTCAACTTTATACATTGTATTGAAGCATTCAATTTTATATGTTGTATTGAAGCATTCAACTTTATACATTTTATTGAAGCATTCAACTTTATACATTGTATTGAAGCATTCAATTTTATATGTTGTATTGAAGTATTCAACTTTATACATTTTATTGAAGCATTCAACTTTATATGTTGTATTGAAGCATTCAACTTTATACATTGCATTGAAGTATTCAACTTTTTTTGTAACACTTGGACCTACCGAGTATTTTCTCAAAATGCACGTTTCGGTGTAAAAACAAAACAACTGCACCAGGTTAAACCCCAGTTTACTCAATTTAACGCTATCCGGTCTTGACCTCCACGGACCCTCTAGTTACAATGTTATTGCTATTTTACTCACCATAATAGCATGTCAACACGTGACACCTTGGCTTGCTCTGCAGTGCGGGTTCAACCGGGCGTAACAGCGACAACTTCTGCAAAGGCGTATAGACATCAGCCATCTGTTGTTTTTTTTTTAAACTTGCTGGCAGGGAGCGGTACATTAACTGATGGCACGGTACGGTACATTGACTGATGGCACGGTACATTGACTGATTGGCACGGCACGGTACATTCACTAATGGCACGGCACGATGCATTCACTGATGGCACGGCACGGTGCATTCGTTGATGGCACGGCACGGTACATTCACTGATGGCACGGTAAATTCACTGATGGCACGGCAACAACTGGCAGGACATGGCTTCAACAACTGGCAGGCCAGGTAGGAACTTGACTGGTCATATGGTCAGTAACGGTGGACACGAACTCCTTACACAGGTTTAACATAACCCAGGAAACAAAACGAAAGTTGAGGATTTCGACTAGCCATGGCAGGACGCATCAAACTATCTAACTGACTTGACGGCAAGAGTCTTCACAGCAAGATTCTGTTCAATACTATTCCACGGGAATAACACTATTTTAGTGGAACAACACTACTCTAGGGAAATAACAACTATTTTAGGGGAACAGCATTATTCTAGAGGAACAGCACTATACTAGTCATCAACAATATACTAGGGGAAGAAAACTATTCTAGGGTACACTTTCAACCAGTGATTATTTCAGAAATTCCCCCCCCCCGTGGGGGGGGCACTTCAGATTTTTCGGGGGGGGGGGCGGTGCCAGTTGATTTATTGTTGGACATATTTTTGCTCCGGGGGGGGGGGAGGGCACTTGACTTTCCCCGGAGGGGTGCAGTGCCCTCCCGTAGATACAGCTAAAAGAAACCCTGCTTTCGACTACACTAGAGGACAAGAAGCAACAACAACACCAGGCTGAAAAATAGGAAAGTTCTTTATTTACACGACCACACTGCATAACACGTTCACAAAATTTCCTAACAAAATCCTAACAATTCTGGCACTAATACTACTCTCAACGCACTGGCAATATTACTACTCTCAACACACTGGCAATATTACTACTTTCAACACACTGGCAATATTACTACTCTCAACATAATGGCAATATTACTACTCTCAACACACTGACAATATTACTAATCTCAACACACTGACAATATTACTAATCTCAACTTTATTGTAACACATTACATTAAATAAATATCTCTACAGTCCAATTGTGAGTCTTTGGTAGAGATTTGTGTGGTTCCTTGACTAAAACGTACGTGACTAAGTATAAGGGTATTGCTTAACGTGCTTGCTTGGATTCAAATAATGAACACAACAGGCTGACAACAATCATGACTAGGTTTACAATTAAGTAAAGGGTAAATCAAGAGTACAATTCCTATCAAAACTATATTTTAAAAATGTATTGAAGGGCAAAAGCTCGTGTATTTGGGATATTGGCTACGAACCATTTCTATTGGCTCAGACGCATCACGTGGCTCAGTATCAGTAAGTATGAGATACAAACAGGAACTAAGGCATCACGTGGGTCAGTATCAGCAAGTATGTGATACAAACAGGAGCGAAGGCATCATGTGGCTCAGTATCAGCAAGTATGAGATACAAACAGGAACTAAGGCATCATGTGGCTCAGTATAAGCAAGTATGTGATATAAACAGGAAAAAAGTAAAAAATTAACATGAAAATATTTTTACTCGTTGATACCTGTAGTATACTTTTCAAGCCTGCTATAGCTTGATATAATATGAAGTTACATATGGCTATTATTTATGTCAGGGATTTCTCCCCCCCCCCCACCTCTCCTTCTGAGTGTTGGTGGCCTACCCCCCCCCATCCCCTAAAATTAACATGAAAATATTTTTACTCGTTGATACCTGTAGTTTACTTTTCAAGCCTGCTATAGCTTGATATAATATGAAGTTACATATGGCTATTATTTATGTCAGGGATTTCTCCCCCCCCCCCACCTCTCCTTCTGAGTGTTGGGGGCCTACCCCCCCCCATCCCCTTCCTCGACCTTGGTGAGTTCCGTGGTGTTATTGTTATCTATTTCAAGTTCACTATGACTATTAGTGATACAAAAAATGCGCACTTGAAAACTGACAAGAACATTGCTGACTCTTCAAGAACAATCACAAACGATTTGACTTTGGGCTAAATTTGCTTTAAACAAAAATCTTAACACTTTTCAGCAAATCAACTTATTCAATCCAGTGATTTTTTTTTTTTAAAGCATATTTGACATTTGTTCCTGTAATATTCCACATTAAAGAAAAAACTTCCTTTAAATAAGTTCACTCTTTAACAACTTTCCCCGTAATTTAACATCCAAAATGTGCGTACAAGCAGTTAGATTAAGTCAAAGTAAATGCCACGAAATCTAAACTTTTATCCATAATAAGATAGACCTTCAAATTATTTGATCGATCCAAATGAATGGAAATGTTTTGTATTTTTAATTCAATTGTACATCTTCAGTTTCAGCACATAGATAAATAAATAAACTAGCGAAGACAACATTTTAAACTAGAACAGTTTCAACTCACGCCATCCTGAGTTCTATATCCAACTGGCATCGTTATCTTTTCACTCGAGCTTTTAGCGGAAGATGATTGTCACCTACTCGTCCCTTTCATTGTCATCCCCATTCATAGTTATCAGTCCACCGTCTCCAATGATGACATTGTTGACGTTGCTGATAATGTGATAACTGGGGATGAACAAGTTGTGTACAATTGTTAATATTTTAGTCAGTAGTGTCAACATTTATTAAGTTAACAAAATATTTTTCCCCCAAATCCAGTCTAATTTTTAAAGCCTTTACATTAACCTCACTTTTGTTCGTGGCTGGGTGTGTGGCTAAATTTTCGGACGGCTAATTGACCCACTTGCTGAAACTTGGCACACAGACCCGTTGACAATGACAACACATTCTAGCAAATTTTCAGCCCCAACCACCCAAAATAAGTTTTTTCCCCTGTTTTTCAAGGGGAAGCTGAAAGTAATATGATGCCACTGCTTTCATGAAATAAAATTCTCGATAACTGTGCTAAATTAGTAAAAAAAAAAAAAAAAAAAAAAAAAATATCGCGAGAATAATCGCCTGCTCCCACCCAGGTACGCCGGTTGTGATGCCTGCTCCCACCCAGGTACGCCGGTTGTGATGCCTGCTCCCACCCAGGTACGCCGGTTGTGATGCCTGCTCCCACCCAGGTACGCCGGTTGTGATGCCTGCTCCCAGAGTTCCCGGGTCCGACCCTGAAAAGTTCCGGTTTTTTAATCTGGTATCCTCTTTGGGTGTGACGGCAGGGGCATCCCGCCAATTGGAATGGCCTCGACTGAAGCAGGGTCCTTGTATACAAGGGATATAAGTCTTGATGGGTCACACTATAATTAGCCCGTCACTTTCCACTATCGGTTCACTCCCTTACTAACAAGAAGAAGAAACAATAAATACTTACATGTTGACAACGTTACTATTGCCAGCTTGTCCTCCATCTTGATCCCTGGGGTCGCATACATTGGGACCAATCGCATTAATCGCTGAGCTGCAATTTCGTTGACTGTAAAAAAAAAAAAAATAATAATTACAAAATCAATAAAAAAAATCAATAGAACAATGGACTTGAAAAGAAACGGAAGAAAACACCACCAGCAGCAAGCAACCGTTCAAATATCCCGGTTTGAACCCAATGTCACAGTTATAAGGTGAGGTGGCTTTCCAATTTAGCGCTTAGCTAAAAGCAACAATTTAAAGAGACGCATCCACCAATACTTAAGTAACAGGTTTTTTAATTGAATGAACAATTAAGCCTGACAATCACATCAAGAGACAACGTTAGCTAAACGCTTTCCATAAAAAGTCACTCAAGCCATGAATCTGACGTCGTAGTCACAGGACCCTAAAGTTAACTTTTCAAAGATCTGCTTTAATAAATAGTGAAGTTAAAAAACCACTATATGTATATACACACACCTATATATATATATATAAATATTGTGGAGTGACAACGTTGGTAGTGTAGGGGGTGGAGAATTCCCACAGGCCCGGAGACTCCGGGGCGAGGCTAGTATGACCATGACGGAGACAGTAGAGGTTACACATCAAGCCATTGGAATGCAAAATCTAGTGGCTTGTGAATATGTGAAATGTCCAGGCAGACCGAGGTGTGTGTGTGTGTGGGGGGGGGGGAACTGGGTAGCTCAGACTGGCTTAGTCCGCAACTGTCGTTGGAGGATACCGTCGTCAATGCGTTGAATTATCGGATTGCACGGGACACGGACAGTAGTTATCAATCTAGGATGGCTAGTTAATCAGAAATGTCCATTTAGACAGTAGTTATCAATCAAGGATGGCTAGTTAATCAGAAATGTCCATTTAGACAGTAGTTATCAATCTAGGATGGCTAGTTAATCAGAAATGTCCATTTAGACAGTAGTTGTCAATCAAGGATGGCTAGTTAATCAGAAATGTCCATTTAGACAGTAGTTATCAATCAAGGATGGCTAGTTAATCAGAAATGTCCATTTAGACAGTAGTTGTCAATCAAGGATGGTTAGTTAATCAGAAATGTCCATTTAGACAGTAGTTATCAATCAAGGATGGCTAGTTAATCAGAAATGTCCATTTAGACAGTAGTTATCAATCAAGGATGGCTAGTTAATCAGAAATGTCCATTTAGACAGTAGTTATCAATCAAGGATGGCTAGTTAATCAGAAATGTCCATTTAGACAGTAGTTATCAATCAAGGATGGCTAGTTAATCAGAAATGTCCATTTAGACAGTAGTTATCAATCTAGGATGGCTAGTTAATCAGAAATGTCCATTTAGGCAGTAGTTATCAATAAAGGATGGCTAGTTAATCAGAAATGTCCATTTAGACAGTAGTTATCAATCTAGGATGGCTAGTTAATCAGAAATGTCCATTTAGACAGTAGTTATCAATCAAGGATTGGGAGTTAATGAGAAATGTCCTGAGAAGGAATCTTAAGAGATGCCACGATTAATTTGGGGGCTAATTAGCTAGGACCTTTAATTGGGGACTTAAAAATCAGAACTCAGCCGCACAGCAGTTTGAGGACAGTTGGGGGATACCACACTCGGGGAGCAGTGAGATTACCGTTGGAGGGTAGAGTACAGTCATGTGGGACTGACTTGGGCAGTGAATAAAGAGAGCGAGATAGAGAGAGGGATGGAGAGAGAGAGAGAGAGAGAGAGAGAGAGAGAGAGAGGGAGGGAGGGAGAGATAGACGTGACAGGCAGAGATGAGTACCAGAGATAAGGACGTGAATCATAGTAGCGTATAAAGAAAGATCAAAAGCTGTTAACCGTCGGCGTGTTGCCTGTTTTGCAAAAAATTTTGCAAAGCGATTGACAGAGGAAGCAAGTTTTATCATTCAAAGAAAAGTGTTAGCAAGAACATAACCTAGAGCAGCGGTTCTCAACCAGTTGGTCGCGACCCCTTTGGGGGTCGAATGACCCTTTCACAGGGGTCGCCTAAGACCATCGGAAAACACATATAGGCTACTCTAAGGTTATTGAGTAGCAACGAAAATAATATTGTGGTTGGGGGTCGCCACAACATGAGGAACTGTATTAAAGGGTCATGGCATTAGGAAGGTTGAGAACCACTGACCTAGAGCATAAAAGTTTTATAAAATATTGATAATATCTCTGCTACACAATGTATAGAAATTGATTATTTTTCAACTGGATTATTTTTTAGGCCCCTTTGAAATATGTTTACGCTTTCAGTGACAATTCCTGCCTTAAGTTGTTTTTTTTTTTTTTGTTTTTTAAATTTATGGCTAAAATAGCTGCTCTTTTGAGAGAGTTAGAATTCAATACATCTGTGATTTTTTTTAAACGGTAAATCACGTCAGGGTCGATGGCTAAACTTACTTGTTTTCTTTAGGATGTATTTGGTCAAACATGCTGCCAGGTGTTAAGAATTGTCTGTTAAAAGCTGGCAGCGTTGAATGGTCTTCAAAATCTGAAAATATCAATACAACTCGATTACTCGGGTGTAAATAATGGTGTGAGTTATTCAGTAATATATTATTATGTGTTACGGCCGATGCCAAACATCTGTCCTTGTTGGTACAGGTCGGCAAAGCTGGAGAATGGCCGGTGCCGTTGTAAATTGACCTGCCAAAGTCCGATAATCTTGTATTTAAGATTTGGCAGGACATTTTTACGAATGGCAAGAGGTGATTGGTGGCATGAGGTGATTGGTGGCATGAGGTGATCGGTGGCATGAGGTGATTGGTGGCATGAGGTGATTGGTGGCATGAGGTGATCGGTGGCATGAGGTGATCGGTGGCATGAGGTGATCGGTGGCATGAGGTGATCGGTGGCATGAGGTGATCGGTGGCATGAGGTGATCGGTGGCATGAGGTGATCGGTGGCATGAGGTGATTGGTGGCATGAGGTGATTGGTGGCATAAGGTGATTGGTGGCATAAGGTGATCGGTGGCATGATGTGATCGGTGGCATAAGGTGATTGGTGGCATAAGGTGATCGGTGGCATGATGTGATCGGTGGCATAAGGTGATTGGTGGCATAAGGTGATCGGTGGCATGATGTGATCGGTGGCATAAGGTGATCGGTGGCATAAGGTGATCGGTGGCATGATGTGATCGGTGGCATAAGGTGATTGGTGGCATAAGGTGATCGGTGGCATGATGTGATCGGTGGCATAAGGTGATTGGTGGCATAAGGTGATCGGTGGCATGATGTGATCGGTGGCATAAGGTGATCGGTGGCATAAGGTGATCGGTGGCATGATGTGATCGGTGGCATAAGGTGATCGGTGGCATAAGGTGATCGGTGGCATGATGTGATCGGTGGCATAAGGTGATCGGTGGCATAAGGTGATCGGTGGCATGATGTGATCGGTGGCATAAGGTGATCGGTGGCATAAGGTGATCGGTGGCATGATGTGATCGGTGGCATAAGGTGATCGGTGGCATAAGGTGATCGGTGGCATGATGTGATCGGTGGCATAAGGTGATCGGTGGCATAAGGTGATCGGTGGCATGATGTGATCGGTGGCATAAGGTGATCGGTGGCATAAGGTGATCGGTGGCATGATGTGATCGGTGGCATAAGGTGATCGGTGGCATAAGGTGATCGGTGGCATGATGTGATCGGTGGCATAAGGTGATTGGTGGCATAAGGTGATCGGTGGCATGATGTGATCGGTGGCATAAGGTGATTGGTGGCATAAGGTGATGGGTGGCATGATGTGATCGGTGGCATAAGGTGATTGGTGGCATAAGGTGATCGGTGGCATGATGTGATCGGTGGCATAAGGTGATCGGTGGCATAAGGTGATCGGTGGCATGATGTGATCGGTGGCATAAGGTGATCGGTGGCATAAGGTGATCGGTGGCATGATGTGATCGGTGGCATGATGTGATCGGTGGCATAAGGTGATCGGTGGCGTGAGGTGATCGGACAAGCTCGCAAAGATATTTGTTTTGTTTTCACGGACTAGTTTGTGAAAAGCTTCAAGCACAGAATGGAACAATCATTTCTGGATACGGCGTTGTTGGAAAACACCTTGCTCTGTGCCTAGCTTGTAGATAACACGAGTTATATGCCTAGCTTGTAGAGAATATCGTGTTCTGTGCCTAGCTTGTAGAGAATACCGTGGTCTGTGCCTAGCTTGTAGAGAATACCGTGTTCTGTGCCTGGCTTGTAGAGAATACCGTGTTCTGTGCCTGGCTTGTAGAGAATACCGTGTTCTGTGCCTAGCTTGTAGAGAATACCGTGTTCTGTGCCTGGATTGTAGAGAATACCGTGTTCTGTGCCTAGCTTGTAGAGAATACCGTGTTCTGTGCCTAGCTTGTAGAGAATACCGTGTTCTGTGCCTGGATTGTAGAGCATACCGTATTCTGTGCCTGGCTAGTAGAGAATACCGTATTTTACCGTGTTCTGTGCCTAGCTTGTAGTGAATACCGTATTCTGTGCCTAGCTTGTAGAGAATAACGTATTCTGTGCCTAGCTTGTAGAGAATACCGTGTTCTGTGCCTGGCTTGCGGAAAGCTCTCTTAACGTTCATGACAAAAACAAGGTCATCTTGTATTACCACATTAAATTTTGCTAATCGACGTCTAGCTGCTTCTTGGAAAAGCCGGGAAAAATAGAAATATACACTGCTCGGTCATTTCAGTTACATCAGACCTTGGCCATACGTCTCGGCAATATCGCACTTTGGTCGACCTATTCGGGAAAAAAGCTGAACTAAAGGCTTTAGCCGTGACATCTATACTTGTGAGTGTACTGTCAATCATTGAACTTAAGACTTTAGCCGTGACATCTATACTTGTGAGTGTACTGTCAATGATTGAACTTAAGACTTTAGCCGTGACATCTATACTTGTGAGTGTACTGTCAATGATTGAACTTAAGACTTTAGCCGTGACATCTATACTTGGAGTGCAATGTCAATGATTGAAAGAAAGGCTTTCGCCATAACATCTATACTTGTGAGTGTACTGTCAATCATTGAACTTAATACATTAGCCGTGACATCTATACTTATAAGTGTACTGTCGATGATTGAAATTAAGGATTTGGCCGTGACATGCTTACTTGTGAGTGTACTGTCAATGACTACATTTAAGTCTTTACCCGTGACATCTATTTTACATCTGAGGATACTGTTAATTATTACATATCTTTGTAATTACATATTACTGGTTATAACAAACCCCTGGATAACAAGATAACAACTATAATCATACCCTTGTCGTATTTTTGCCCAGTAATTTCTTCAATCTTTGCAGCAATCTCTGGGTATCTATATTGTCTGGCGGCAAACATGGCACGTTGAATGTCTTCACTGCTGAGATCATCCTTCTGTGCAAGAATGGTCTTCACTGTTTGACAGTGTCCGTTCTCTGCTGTCAGAACAAGGGCTGATTTCCCAGAGTTATTCTTTTTGTTGACATCCGCCCTTGCTTTAATAAGGGCTTCAACGACCAGGTGGTGTCCATTTGGTGCACAAGATAACAGTGGCGTGTCACCGTCGGAATCGGCCACATCAACATCAGCTCCTTTCACTAGCAGATCATCCACTACAGCGCTGTGTCCATACTGTGAGCTGATGTTGAGTGGCGTACTTCCGTGTCTGTTTCGGATGTTGACGTCAGCGCCCCCTTTGATCAGCGCCCTGGCGATGTCCGCCTTCCCTTTCCTTGCAGCAATAATCAAAGCCGTGTCGCCTCTCTCATATTCTTTCATGTTCAGGTTCTCAAGGACTTCCTGGTCACGTAACAAATAGTGGACGATCTCAGCGTGCCCCTTGTAACATGCTAACATCAGAGGTGTTAAGCCAGTGTTGTTTGCTGCTGCTGCCTTCCCTTTGTTCTCTAGAAGAAGATGAACTGCGTCCTTGTGACCATTGGCCGAGCAAATGTGAAATATAGTGTTACCTTTATCATCCGTTGATATGATATTTGCATTATTCTCCAAAAGAACCCTCATACACTCGGTTTTCCCAAACTGCCCACATTGCATCAGTGGTGTCCAGCCGTTGTCCCCGCACTGGTTCACACTGGCTCCTGCTTTGATCAAGATCCTCACAATTTCAGGGTCTCCGTGGTTGGCGGCGTTCATCAACACTGTCCACCTGTTCTTACTGATCGCATCCACCTGAGCACCAGCGTTGATCAGCGCCTCCACGATAAGCCTTTGACCTTTCAGCGCGGCAAGATGCAATGGCGGGATTCCATTTATTATATCAGTGTGATTGACTTCAGCACCAGCTTGGAGGAGAATGTCCACAACTTCAGAGTGACCCTCTTGTGCGCTGACCAGCAAAGGAGTGTGTCCTTTTGCATTAGCAAAATTGATGTCCGCCCCGTGCTCTATTAAAACGGAGATGGAGTGGGCAAAGCCTTTCAGTGAGGCTTTGAACAAAGGAGTCGATGCATCCTTATCAGTCACATCAACAACTGCTTTCTTCATTATAAGATCTTTTACAATAACGGTGTGACCATGAGCAGCGCTTATATCAAGGGCAGTAACTCCAGATTTAGACCGAGCATTTACATTTGCTCCCCTTTCTATGAGAAAATTGGCAACAGAGGTATTTCCGAATTGAGTGGTTAACATCAGAGCATTCCAACCTTTTCTCTCAATGGCATTCACATCAGCACCTTCATCGACAAGCAGTTCAACGATGTTTAAATGTCCCCCATACGCAGCCTGCATTAAAGGTGTTTGACCTTTGACATTGGAGACGTTAACTTTTGCACCAACAGTCAGTAAATCTTTAATAATATTGAGATGACCTTTAAGCGCAGCATTAAGCAAAGGACAGTTTCCATCGTCATCACACAGATCGACCAGTGCCCCGGCGTTAAGAAGTTCTTTCACCACCTCTGTGTGTCCATTGTCAGCACTGTTGCAGAGAGCTGTTTGACCTTTGGGTCCTACTAAATTGACATCGGCCCCATGATCTATGAGCATTTTGACAATGTCTTTATTGCCAGTTTGACACGCTTGATGCAGGAGTCCCATCCCATTCTTAGCCCTGAAATTTATGTTCGGGTATGGGCTCGGTTGTCTTGACAGCAACAGTTTGACAATCCGTTTCCGGCTATTTTGGACAGCTGCTGACATAGCACTTTGATATTCCAAGCTAAACATCATGTCATCAGCCCCAGCATCCAGCAGCATGTCCACAATGTCAATGTGATCATTTTGACATGCGCCCATCAAAGGCGTGTCTCCGTCATTGTCGGATATGTTGGGATCCGCTTTTAACTTCAGTAGACTTTCAACAATGCTTTTATTGCCATCCAGTGCACTGACAAACAGTGGGGACGTTCCATCTTTTCCCGTAATGTTTACATCAGCTCCGTATTTTAATAAATTTTTTGCTGCTAAACTGCGGCCTTTGCGCGCGGCAACAAGTAATGCCGTAAACCCAACTTTATTGACGTGATTTACATTAGCTTTTTTCTTAAGCAAGACTTTCAATGTCTCCACGTGGCCATGGTCTGCACAGATTTCAAGAGCTGTCCCTCCGGATATTTGTACGGCGTTCACATCTGCTCCTCCCTCTATCAGTAGCTCAGCCACTTCATAATGGTTCTCTACAGCAGAATGCATCAGAGGTGTCCATTGGCGCACGTCTCTGGTGTTGACATCAGCTCCTTTGTCAATGAGAAGTTTCACAGTCGCCTCCAGTCCTTGATGTACTGATAGACTCAAGGCGTCACTGCCCCTGTCATTTTTGTCCCGAAAATCAGCTCCTTTATCGAATAGAATACGAGCTATACCTTCATGTCCACCTAGTATGGCAAAATGTAGCGCACTGTCTCCTTCATAATCTTTCAAGTTAATGTCTTCAGTCTTTTCTAAAAGCATCTCCACAACGTCATCATTTCCGGCAACACACGCCATGAGCAAAGCTGTTTGGCCTGCTGAATTCCTTTTGTCAAGTTTGGCTCCCTTCTCCACTAACAATGCAACCAATTCCTTTCGTCCAAGCACCGCACAGACCATCAGAGGACTGGCGTCTGTATTCGGGTCAATACGATCCAAGGCGTCGACATTTTGGGCGAGAAGCTCTAGCAAGTCTTTATCACATAGAAGTAATTTTTGGATTGCTGGGTTCTTTAGTGTTGTCAACATTTGGTCAGGTATTTTGGCAGCTGTTTCCAAAATGCGACGAATCTTCGCTTCATCGTGAACACCCTCTGGTGCGTGTTTGGCCGTTTCCTCGACAACTTTTTGCATGGTGGTTTGGAGTTCGTTGCCCATTTTAACATTTAAAAATAAGTTCCTTTTGTTAAATCTGTAAAAGAAAATAGATATTGTCTATCCACAAGGAAACCGATTTTCACCGCAAAGAAGTACATAAGAATATACAAACACATCAGTCTAGGCAGTAGTTTTTATTTTGGACTAAATACTGATTTTTTAAACAGAACATTAAAGAACCCCTGAAAACAAAACGTTTCGTATCAATCCCTTATACAATGCAATATCGAGCTATGGAAGGGGCGGGGGCTGAACATTTGTTACAAGTAACGCACTTTATAAGAATCCCAGTTAGTGTCCCCCCCCCCTCCCCCCTCAGGCTTGCAACCGCACTTTTTTTTCCACGCCACTAAACTCTATTAATAGTCTAATGACACACCCACCCATTTTTACACCGCAGATTTATTTCACCGACCACTCATGAAAAACAAAAGAAAATTTTACGCACCAAACGCACTAGCGACATCTTTCTTTCTTATATTTGAGGTGCCCACGATCACTTTGTTGATCATTCTGGCTCCTGGTTTGAATTCAGAGTTTGCCTTCTCTTAGATGGGTTGCCGTTCAGGGCTAACGAGTCCCATCTACCCGGAGTGCTTGGGATGTATTGCTTTGGTGGGGATTGACCACCAGCTGTTTGGTTTGAGATCGTTTAGACCGCTCGGCCACCCAGCACCCTATTTTCTTATACAGAAACTCATTTAAGGCAGTTATCGGGGGATTCCCTTTTTTGAAGTCAGTGTCATCATATCTTCTTCAATGAAGAAAAAAAAATTTGGGGGGACTTTGGAAGTGGGACTAAAATTATGATAGAACGTGCTGTCATCGGAAATGAGTCTATGTGCCAGGTTTCAGCTCGATAGGTTGACGGGACGTGGATCACTTAGCCGTCAGGAGATCTCGCCAGCCAAGAGGCCACAGCCAAGTTAATATATAGGATTTAAAGATGCATTGAAGCTACACCCCATGCCATTCGTGTTTTCCAAAGGTCGCTCTGACTGAAAGATTACTCGCCATGACACACATAGTGGCGTGGGAAGGGGGTGAGGAGTGGGGTTGTCTACTCCTGGCGGCATTTATTGCCTAACATAGAGAGGCAACATTTTCGGCCAACTGCTGAGTTTATTTATTTATTATCATTATATTTTTAAAACTAGTTTGGCTCAGACCAGGTTGCACACAACGTAGCTGCGCCAATTATGACATTCCTTAACCATATTGAATGCTTGATTGGATGGTAACAACAAAGTGGGCGGAGTCGGCTTTTATTGAATGATTAATTGGATGGTAACAACAATGTGGGCGGAGTCGGCTGTTAACAAGTTTAATGAAAAAGAACATCCCTTCCATTTGGGTGTTAGGGTCAGCGGCTGAGATCGGGGCAGTGGCGTAGCGAGGGTGTTTGGCGCTCGGGGACAAGTTTCGCGCCCGGGGACAAGATCCATTGTTAGCGCCCCTTTTTCTTTTTTTCAACTCTCAAACCCATTATTTTCATCAACAAAATAATATCAAAGCACATTTTGGCGCCCCTAACTAGCTGACGCCCGGGCACATCTGTCCCCCCCTACCCCCTCCACGCTACGCCTCTAGATCGGGGCAACCCGGGGCGACCAAAGCTTTTTTTTAACCCCCTTCCCTCAGCATTTACCTTCCTACGTCACTGGCCAAATCCCTAATAGAAAATTTAGGCTCCATCAAAAATAAGAAATAATAATTTTTAAAAAAAATAATAAATATACAAAAAATTATGTAAAAAAAAATAAAAAAATTTTAAATAAAAAATTAGAAAAATAAAATTATAATTTTGTTTAAATTATTTTTTAATGAGAAAAACGATTAAGTTCATCGAAACTAAACAGTGTACCGTATCTCAGCACTCGTTACCAATGTCTTTGGGAAATTACCATTGTTATCAATCTAAAATTTAAAAAAATATATATATAGATAGTTTAATAAAATTAAAATGTTTTTGTGCAAAAGTTGCTACCTTTTAGTCATATCAGTGATTGGAGACTTAATTTTAAGAATATTTTTTTAGAGAATTCTAGAAACTTAATATTTTAAAAATTACTCAGTATCCTCGACTTTAATATAATATGGACTTACAACTCCATGCCAGGCATATACATGGGCGCCCGCAGAAAACTTTCTAAGGGGGGGGGGGCAAAAAATCGAATAACTTTCCAGGGGGGGGGGGAAAAAATTTTTTAGTAATGTTTTAAT